ACACACACGCCTGAGAGTCGTCAGTAAAGCTTAGAAGCACGTGGTCAGAATGAGAAGCTCTGAAAGGAGAAGAATGGATTTCAGCTCTACAGACAGATCAGTGTTTCTGCTGCTCAGAGAAATGAATCAGTTCTGTTCTGCTTCAAGAACTTTACACTTGTGTGATTTGCTGATCTTAAAATGTACATTACTTGTGTGTGTGTGTGCGCGCGCGCGCGCACGCACGCACGCACGCACACACACAAGTAATGTACATTTTAAAATCAGCAAATCACACAAGTGTAAAGTTCTTGAAGCAGAACAGAACTGATTCATTTCTCTGAGCAGCAGAAACACTGATCTGTCTGYAGRGCTGAAWTCCATTCTTCWCCTTTCAGAGCTTCTCATTCTGACCACGTGTTTCTAAGCTTTACTGACGACTCTCAGGCGTGTGTGTGTTTTTTTCTAAGCTGAAACCCCTCTGAGGTGTGTTAACTTGTCACCTGAGCTGTAGATACTGTTTGCACCTTCACAATTCCTCCCCTCAGAGCTCCTCGCCTTCCTTTTGCACACATTTCCTGTCATGCTTGACTTCAGTGAGAGCCTTTAACCACCGTCAGAAGATTTGTTTCTTTTTTAGCAGCTTTAGGAGACAATCTGCTTAAGAATATCCGTCAAGTCATGCATGTTTGCTCATGCTGCCTGCTTGTTAAAAGCCACCCAACGTGTTCCAAATCAGCCCTGTGCTCCATCTATTGTAGCTACAGACTGAGGCTGACCCATGTTATGGTCATTAAAGGTTTTTAGAGTTCATTAGGTAATCAGTTTCAATCAACAGCTTTAAGTTGAGCAGGCTTTGGAGGAGCTCTAACCCCGGGCTGGTCCCACGCCATATGCTTGCTTTGTCAAATGGAGACCTGTCCCCCAATGGCCTCTCCTCCCTCCCTGGCCTTTCGAACCAGTTTCACCGGCTTACTGTGGCTTTAGCAGCATCTGTGCTGTAAATATAGGGCATTCCCATCTGCTTGTCTGCCCCGGTGGTTTAAAGCAGCAAACTGGAGCTGCGGTGCTCAGTTGGGWTGGTTCATGGCGCCTTGGAACCATCTCTGTGCTCCCACAATGAAGTTCAGCGTCAGGAGGAGGGAAAGAATGGAGAGGCAAGAAGAAAATGAGGTGGGAAGAGATCGTTTTAAATATGTTGCTTTTTTTTAACATTTACATGGAAGCTATAACTGTTGTAGTCCTGTGACTCATATTTGAATCATGATGCTCTACGAGTGTCTCTGTCAGAAACTGCACTGTAAAAAAATGACAGGATTGTTGTCGTTATTCCAAAGCTCAGTCTGGCTACTTAGCTTAGCACAAAAAGTTAGTAAATTTGTGTTTGCATAAATTATTTCTTTGTTGTAACAATGCTTTTAAAAAAACTGCTTCATAGAAAACTAAGGAAGTGTAATGGAAATAATACTTTTAGGTTTAAGCCAGTAATTCATGACATACTTTAATGACCTAGGTTTTCATGACGTGCTGTTTATCAGCAGATAGAGGGATTAAAGTCAGAACAACATTTGCTAACAACAGTCATTCTTAGATATCACTTGTGTTTATCTTTGTGTTTTCCCTTGAACTAGTTAGGATGAAATCTTGCTTTATTAATGACATAATGAAACGAGAAGCAGGAGCAGCAGCAGAGAGCAGAGGGACCGTCTGATGGCTCCATGTTGTTCTCTGTGTTCCTGTTGTAAATAAAACTCAGCTGATCCCACAGAGTGCCTTCATTCTTGGACCATGTATTTCTGTCTTTGTTAAATAAATATTTACATAACAAGACATGCACAAGTCTTAACCACTAAGTTGAAACAGAAATTATACATTTATTCAAAAATTAGATCCAATCTGACATCTTCTGTTTCAAATATCAATCTTCATGCCATTATACTCTCAACCATGTCGTACTGTTTACCTGTTTGGTCTCTTACAACAAATGGAATCTTAGAACCCATAGTTAGGCTCTACAACAGGGCCTACAAAATTCTTCCTGGTTGGACTCATCACTGT